ACCTCAAAACATTTTGTATCTGTCTTGCTGAGACACTTTATCTTTGGAGAAATGGCAATATTTTGGAAAAATTGCTGAATACTTATATAGTGTTCACTTTATGCTGAGCAATGTCATATATATATACTTTATTTAAAATACTTTAAACACTCAGAGGAGGTAGTGATGAATCCTATTTTTACAAATGAGGAAGCTAAAGCAGAGAGATTTATTTACCCAGTCGTACAGCTAAACCTATAAACAAAGTAAGTAAACAAACCAATAAAACAGAAGCCAAAAAGGTAGTAGTATGTGGAAACAAGAAACTCAACCCCCTCCTTGCATATATTAGCCTGATAACATTTAGAGTAGTTATTTTTCAGATGGAAAGAAAGTTTCACAAGGTTTTAAGTCTTGACCCTGCAACTGACTAATGTGGAATCTGAATCCAAATGGTAAAGATTCAGCCAACAACTTATCCTTTCCCCTCTGAGTGAAGGAACATTTCAGTGTCTCAAATAATATAGGCTGAGGCAATGTAAGAATTGGCAAATTTTATCCTATTGCCTGCCAAACTGTAGTCTCTTTCTTTAACTGCTGATGCAACATAAAAATAACTTAATGGATTTTGAGTAGAGAGAAATGGAATAAACTTCTTAAGCCTCTGTGAGAAACATTTCATTGGAGTGGAAATCTAGAAGCTAAAGTAGCCAAAGTTTACCCCTTCTTGTAGATGAAGTGGATGGAGACGAAAACTAATGCATCTTTGGCAGCTTTATTCTGAATTCAATCTGATAATGGCAGATTATTTTTGAAATATTATTTCTGCTTAAGATATAATCTTCCCTTCTCCTCACCCCCCAGGAATAAAAAAGTTATCAGCAGCGTTCTAACATGCTTTGTGCTATTGCTTCAGAAGGAGAAATTAATCCTAGGAAGAAGAAACATATTTAGAATACACTATATTCAAATTATAGAGTCATATTTTTCCCCAAAATTTTTATTACAACTGTATTATGCTTTATGTACAAAGATATCCATCATATATTTATGAGGGGAAAAGTGAAAATAACCTAAGTAGGTAACTATCAGATAATGGTTAAGTAAGTTATAGTACATTGGTACATGGAATATTAAGCTGGTTTTTAAATTAATGTTTGTAGGACTCCTGTTCCTGGGCATGGAGTAATAGGAATGAGATTTACCCTTTGCCAAAACAAGAAGAAAACTAGACATAATAGATAAAACAATAGTTTTTAGAAATGGCACTAAAAGTTGTATACAACTAGGAGAGAAGGGAAACAGGAGCTCTACAATCGCCTCAGTTTATTGCCTGGAAGCAATTTTCAGGCTACAGTGAAGGGAGGGCGGATCCAGTTGAGCTAGAAAATGCGGGACCAAATACTAGAGAAGATGTTCCTGCAGAGGGAGAGAGAGCTCCAAAGATCTGCAGAGGTGTCCCTTTGGCTGAATACTAATCTGTGTGTGTGTGAAAGGGAACTAACAGGTTGGGAAAAGAATTACAAGAAAGCAGTAGGCCAAACCATTCTTGGAGCTGACATAGGACTGAGAATATTTCATTTCCTACTAGTAAGAGTGGAAAGAAAATGTAATATATGGGGCATATGGTAGAGGCCTCAAAAGGATTTCATCTCAGTGGTGAGGCTAAATTAAGCTCTAGATTGAAGGCTGCTCTGCCCCTACCTTAACACGGCTTTAAAGTAAGCCTTGAAAGGATCAAATTGATTCCACATAATTGAATTCATGCCAAAACAAAGTCTAACATATTTTAAAGGCACACAACAAAACCAGCAAACAAGAGTGTAAAATTTACAATGTCTGGTTTACAGTAAGTCTCTCAAGCATTTGAGGACAGCAGCAAAATAGCACCCTTAACTAAGAAAAATACCTGTCAATGAAAGCAGAAATGATAGAGAATAAAACAGCTATTATAAATATATTCTATATATTCACGAACGTAGAGGAAAACATGAACATAATAGACAGAGAAATGGAAGATACAAAAAGCCCAAATGGAACTTCTAGAGAAGAAAATAATATCTGATATAACACACTGGATAGGATTAACAGAAGCTTAGATATTGCATAAGAAAAGATTAGTGAACTTGAAGATGTAGCAATTGAAACTAATAAAAATCAAGCACAGAGAATAAAAAGACGAAACAAAAATGAACAGAAGCCTAATGAGCTATGGGAAAATAGCAAGCAACGTGTAGCATATTGGAGTCCCAGAAAGAAGACAAAAAGCAAGCGAGAAAAAAAGAAACAGTTTAATGAATGATAGCTGATATTTTAAACATTTTATGAAAATTATAAATCAGAGTCTTTCATCCTTTGCAGCATTAACATTTGAGACTGGCTAATTCTTTGTTGCAGAAGGCTGAACTATGTATTGCAGGATGTTTAGCAGCAACTCCAGTCTCTACTTACTAGATGCCAATAGGACCATTCACTTGCAACAATCAAAAATTGCCCAAACATTGCTAGATATCCTTGGAGGAAAAGGGGGGGGCAAAAAAAATCTCCCCTAGTTGAGAATCACTGCCATAAACCCATAGATCCAAGAAGCTCAGCGAACCCCAAGCAGAAGAAGCACCAAGGCACATCATAATCGAATTGGTGAAAACCAGTGAAAAAAAATCTTAAAAGCATCCAGATCAAAAAAAAGAAAGAAAAGGATACAGAGGAACAAAGGTAAGAACTACAGCAAACTTCTTTTCAGAAGTCTGAAATCAGTAGGGGCAACATTGAAAGGAAAAAACTATCAACTCATAATTCTATACCATTTAAGACAGTTTTAAAAATGAAGGTGGAATTTACTTAACATGACAATAGGCATTTATGAGAAAGCCACAGATAACATTACATTCAATGGTGAAAGACAGAAAGTTTTCCCCTTAAAATCAGGAATAAGACAAGGATACCTGCTTATACCACTGCTATTCAACATTGTACTGTAAATTCTAGCCAGAGCAATAAAACAAGTAAAAGAAATAGCATTCATAATGGAAAGGAAGAAGCAGAACTAGCTCTGTTGACAGGTAACATGATTCTTACAGAAAATCCAAAGAATCTCCCAAAAAACTACTGGAGCTAATAAATTAATTCAGCAAATTTGTGAGATACGAGAGCAACATACACAACATACAAAAATCAGTTGTGTTTCTATACACCAGCAATGAAAACCCCAAAATGGAAACTAAAAAAATAAATTCATTTACAATAACATCCAAAAGAATAAAATGCCTAGGAATAATTTTAACCAAGGAGGTGAAAGGTTTTACACTGAAAACTATAAACCATTGTTGAAACAAATTAAAGAAGACCCAGAAAAATGGAAAGATTCATAGATAGGCAGGTTTTATATTGTTAAGATGATAGTACTACCCAAGTGACCTACAGATTCAATGCAATCTCTTACCAAAATTCTAAATGCCATTTTTGCAGAAATGAAAAAGTCAGTTCTCAGATTTAGATGGATTTGCAAAGGACCCAAATAGTAAAACAATATTGAAAAAGAACAAAATTGGAGGATTCACAGTTGCTATTTCAAACACACTATAAAGCTGAAGTAATTAGAACATTGGTACTCGTATAAGGATAGACTAGTACAGTGGTTGGCAAACTGCGGCTCGCGAGCCACGTGCGGCTCTTTGGCCCCTTCAGTGTGGCTCTTCCACAAAATACTGACTTCTGTGCATGGGCCACAAAGTTTCAATCGCACTGTACGTGCGTGCCCGCATGTGGTATTTTGTGGAAGAGCCACACTCGGGGCCAAAGAGCCGCATGTGACTCATGAGCCGCAGTTTACCGACCACTGGACTAGTAGAATAGAATCGAGTCTAAAAATAAAACCTCATTTTTATGGCCAATTGATTTTAAATAAGGGTGTCAAGACTCAATATTGCAGAAGTGGGCTTTTGCAGAAGTTGCAATTTAAGCCTTTCAGACAGTGATAACATCCAAGTTCACTGCTTCCACATTACATTTTTGGAAGAATCTTATTTCTAAATTTAATCTTCATCTTGTGCTTTTTAAGAATATCAAGGGACAGAGTATTGAATACTTGATTTTGGAACGTGCTTCCATAAGAGTTTATTTGGCTCTTTTTATTTTAGATTTCCTTTCCTCTCTCCCTTCCACCTTCTTCCTTTCCGCCACCTAAAAATATTTTTTTTATGGTTGAATTTTAGGTTTTACTATGTAGTTTAGGTAGTTTACTATGTAGTTCGGGGGGGGGATTTTAATTTTGTTAATGTAGATATGATTTTCCTGATAACTTTTATTTCATATTTTTTTAATATCCACCTGAGGATATTTTTTCCATTAATTTTCTTAGAGAGTGGAAAGAAGGAAGGGAAAAAGAGAGAGAAACAGAGAGAGAAACATCGATGTGAGAGAGACACATCAATTGGTTGCCTCCCACACAAACCCCAGCTGGGGCCAGGGATCAAACCCAAGACCCTTCAGTCTGGGGGCCCAATGCTCTAACCACTGAGCCAAGCTGGCCAGGGCCTCATTTTTCCACATGGAACATCCATATTTTCTACCTTGAACTTAGCTAACATCTTATAATCAGTTAGGGCAGTGGTCGGCAAACTGCGGCCCTTTGAGTGTGGCTCTTCCACAAAATACCACGTGCGGCGCACACGTAAGTGTGATTGAAACTTCGTGGCCACACTCAAGGAGCCAAAGAGCCGCATGTGGCTCGCGAGCCGCAGTTTGCCGACCACTGAGTTAGGGGAATGGCTTTTAGGTGACTCCACAGGCACTAATGGAATGAACATAGCTTGCTAGTGGGTACTCATTCCACTGCTGTGATGACCTGAGAGTACACTTGCCTTTTTGATACCATCTTGAAATTGTTAACTAGTACCTTCAAGAAATGGTGGACTGTCAAACTTTTAGTAATCCTTTGCAAAGTAGTGTTTTGTAACTAGTTTAAATACACATTGCTTTAACCCTTGTGTCTTTTTTTCTACCTTTTATCCCTCCCACAGTCACCAGAGAAGAAAGGAAAAGAAGCAAATACTGGTTTTGGCGGACCAGTTGTTAGTTCTCTGTATCATGAAGAAATCATCAGGTAATTTTCTCTTCCGGTCTTTGATAGTAGGGATATCTTTCTCTATCTGGATATATATATTGTGTGTGTATTTATATATTTTTGATCCTGAAAACTTTCATTTATGAAGAACTTTTTCTTAACCTGAAACTGATTTGGTGGTATATCTAGAAAGATCATAAATGGCAGGGAAGGATTTTTAAGGTGTATAATCATTAAAATCATTGTGTCTGAATCAGTGCCAGATAGTAACCCTTCCCACCATATAAATATTTGGTAGGGCAAGGGTTTGTGTCTCAGAGAATCTAAAGCTTTGGATTTTTGTTGTTAGTTTTCCTCAAAATACCATTATTGTAAAGATTTTCATTTTTATAGTTCATTCATTCTAGCTGCAAATTAAAGATCACTTTGGAATATAAAACGGTACACTAAGGAAAACGTTGTGGAGGTTCCTCAAAAAATTAAGCAGACAATTACTATGTGACCCAGCAGTTCTAATTCTAGTTCTGTATCCCAAAGAATTGAAAGAGAATCTGACAGACATATTTGGCACACTCATGTTCATAATAGCCAAGAGGTAGAACCACCCAAGTGTCCATTGGTGGGTGAATAAACAAAATATGGTATGTATAATGGAATATTATTCAGCTTTGAAAAGGAAGGAAAATTCTGAAACATAGCTAGAACATGGGTGAACCTTCAGGACATTATGTTAAGTGAAATGAGCCAGTCACAAAAAAATAAATACTATATGATTCCACTTATATGAGATGTCAAGAGTATTCAGATTACAGATATAGAAAGTAGAATAGTGGTTGTCAGGAGCTGGAGGAAGGGAAAAGTTGTTATAAAAGCTTCAGTTTTGCAAGATGGAAAAGTTCTGGAGATTGGTTGCACAACAATGTGAATTTACTTAGCTCTACTGAACTGTACACTTAGAAATGGTTAAGATAGTAAATTTTTAAAAAATATACATTTTATTGATTTTTTACAGAGAGCAAGGGAGAGGGATAGAGAGTTAGAAACATCGATCAGCTGCCTCCTGCACACCCCCTACTGGGGATGTGCCCACAACCAAAGTACATGCCCCTGACCAGAATCGAACCTGGGACCCTTCAGGCCATAGGCCGACGCTCTATCCACTGAGCCAAACTGGTTAGGGCAAGATAGTAAAATTTTATGGGTTTGTTGTTTTTTTTAAACACAAAATTTTTAAAGGTCATTTTGTATTTAATAAAGGTCTTAAATTTTATGTTATATATAAAATTTATTGGATAATCTTTTTCTTTCAGCACTGTTTGTATAAATCAGGAATTCTGTCCTGCTTTAAAGTCATGTGACACATTCATCTAAGATTGCTCCTTTATAGATAAAAACAAAATAGGAATCTCTGATGTCCTTACTCTTTTTTTTTTTTAAATATATTTTATTGATTTTTCACAGAGAGGAAGAGAGAGAGACAGAGAGCTAGAAACATCGATGAGAGAGAAACATCGATCAGCTGCCTCCTGCACATCTCCCACTGGGGATGTGCCCACAACTCAGGTACATGCCCTTGACCGGAATCGAACCCGGGACCCTTCAGTCCGCAGGCTGACGCTCTATCCACTGAGCCAAACCGGTTTCGGCTGTCCTTACTCTTTTTGAGTTATCTGAACTTTACTTTTCCTACTCGTTAACATGAAGTAAATGAGCTCTAATCTTTAAGTGGAAAATTGGGATTACCTAAATTTATTGAAGGGAAATACCTATCTTCATAGAGTGAAGAGGAATTGTACCAAAATGTTATGCTCACTCTTGCAAAAGAGTTTGATGACATTATCCATCACATAAGGAAGTGATGATGACAACTCCCAGGTAGCATTCTGGGAAGGAAGTTACTGATAACACTATGAATCAAAAACTTTAAATGCTCATAGTTTCCAGTTAATGATCAGTCAGTTAATACTAGGAGTCCTCTCTTGAATCTACTAGTATTTGCATAGCAGCACACCATTTTTTGTTAAGATTAAATATTTATTTGGGTTATGAAAGGGAAAGGCTGATGGAGAATTAAGGAGAATAAAGATACCCTTTAAGGCTGCTACTGGCCTGGAGTACATTTGCCACCCTGATGCCTTTTTGGGTCTCTGAGAACTCCTGAGGAGCCCATACAGTTTTGAGGAAGCATAGTTTAAAAAACATTTTCAGAACTTAATCCCCCTGCCCCTTAACTCTTATATATTCAGAAAATGTTTTGGGGTTCTTAATTTATATATTCCATCTTTAGAGTCTACTTAAAAATGGCATCTTAGAACCCTCACCCTACCAATCAGAGTTTATTAAATGTTCAAATCAAGTCATTTTCCTACATGATAGAAGGAGAGGTTAGTCATTCCTTCTCTGTTTTCCCATAGTCCTTTGTTCACACTTTTGTTATAGCACTTATCATGTTATACACATTGAATTATAATTTTTAAGAACACTCTATCCTTCCACTAAGCTTAGGTTTTGGAGATCAGGGATCATATTTTATTCATCTCTGTACTCTCACTATTCTGAGGAAGTTCCCAGAAGTTAGTAAGTATCTAGCGAAAGTGCCAGCCATTGGGAGGTACCCCCAGCTACTTCCCCAAGGAACTGATAATTTAGTTAGGGAAATGAATTGAGATAGTTTCTTGACTTTGCTTTTTTTATATATATTTTTTATTGATTTTTCACAGAGAGGAAGGGAGAGGGATAGAGAGTTAGAAACATCAATGAGAGAGAAACATCGATCAGCTGCCTCCTGCACACCTCCGACTGGGGATGTGCCCGCAACCAAGGTACATGCCCTTGGCCGGAATCAAACCTGGGACCTTTCAGTCCACAGGCCGATGCTCTATCCACTGAGCCAAACTGGTTAGGGCTTGACTCTGCTTTTTAAAAATCACCATACATACTTTCTAATAATAGCAATCGCTTATCTATAAGTAATAATGATCCTTATTTTGAGTGCTGATTTCTTTAAGGGCTCCAAGACTCTAGTATTTTTGAAAATGACATGCTGAGCACTATTCTTTTGGAATGTCCAGTGACTTGACTAATTTCAGTGCCTCTACAGAACAGAAAGCAAATCACATGTACTCCAATTGAAGTGAGAGTAAATGTCTGGATACTTGGAGTATTCCTAATATAGAGCTAAATTACACTGGAAGAATTAACCTACCTGATTACCCTCCATCCAATTCCTAAAGAAGTGACTCTTACATTTAAATCAATATTTAGAATTTGATCATAAGAAACATAAAATAATATCACTTATTTTAATATAAAGTAGAGATTTTAATTCAACTCACATTTATTGTGAATCTATGAGACAAAACATTTGGATATTTGTGCTTCTAAGCTTCTTCACCTTTTAATAGTATGTTCTCTGTATTTTTTTACATCTACGTGCATGTTTAATAAACATTATTGGTTAATGGAATGAATTATGAACCTCTGCTATGGCAAAACTGGTTAGTCTTGGCCTTATTTCATTAAGTCATTGAAATATTAGTCTTCTTATGATGTGATCTAAGTTTTTGTGTTCTGGAACATATTATTAAGATATGAAACAATAAGAAACATAAATATGAGAGCCACAGAAAGCCTTCTAGTTATTACAAACAGTAATTTCATTACTACTACTAGGGGCCCAGTGCACGAATTTGTGCACCTTGAAAAGAAATTGCAGGCTGCAAGGCTGTGGTGGGCACAGGGGCAGGTCTCAGTCCATCCTCCGCGGCCCCTCCCACCGTGGCCCCCGGTCCCCTGTCTGCCGGCAGCCCTGCTCCCGCCGCTTCCACGTGCTGACTGAGCCGGCCCCGCTTGCACCCACTGATGGTACTGAGCGATTGGGGCCAGCACCAGCAGCAGGTGCGAGTGAGGCCGGCACTGGCACAGCAGCGGGTGCGAGCAGGGCCGTTGCCGGCAGCAGGTGCAAGAGGCGGCTGTTGGCCTCAATCGCCCCTCAGGAGCAAGGGGAGGTGGAGAAGCCCTGGGGGGTGATTGGGGCTGGCACTGGGCACCCGCAGCGGGTGCGAGCAGCGGCTCCAGTGCCCACAGCGGGTGCGAGCGGGGCCGGCACCAGCAGCAGGTGCAAGCGCCCGGGGGACCGCGGCATGAGGGAGCAAAGAATTTTCAGTAATCACCAGAGGCTCACCCGGATGACAGCAACCAGTGCCCCGCCTTGATCTAGTGCCCCCACTCACCTGCTCCACCATCCTACCGCATCTGATGCCACCATGTTCTGCGCACACACCCTGGTGGTCAGCATACGTCATAGCGACTGGTTGGTTGGTTGTTCCACCGTTCAGTCTGTTTGCATATTAAGGTTTTATATACTAGTATATAGATAGCACATCAGAAATTACAGCAACTACTGATTTTCTTACATTAGAGAATTCATTTTATAATTGAACAGAATTCCAGCATAACAAACTAGATCACAATAAAAATTATTCTACATTGAAATGTTGGGTTACTCCAGTGAAGGACCAGATGTAATCCTTATTGTTTCTTAAAACACATTGCAGACCAGTAGTTTTATTGCTAGCTTTACCCAGTGGCCAAATAAGTTTCTATTGAACGACTACAAAAAACGTTTTACATAAATGTTAAAGGCACGCTTTAAAATTAAAAACCCATTGCATTTTGAAGTTATTTATTACATGTTCTTACAAGCTATTATCTTTTTAAAGTATGATACTTTGTAAAACACTGTGTAATATGAAGCAAGAATTCTCGTGATCTGTCTGCAATGTGTTAAGTATAAGACTATAGTTGCAACATTGAAAACAGGGTATTGTTAGCTTTTATGTAATCAAGTATTGCTTGTATTTTGGTGAAATATAGTAGCTGGTGGTGTTTTTTTGCCAAGAAAACGTGGTTTTTTAACTGAAGTTAATTGCAGTCTTGGTAGTGTTATGTTCAACCAAGGGGAAAATGACAGTAGGATCTAGAGTTTTAGAAACATGGTTAAAATGTTAAACTTGAAGGGAAGGAAAAGTTTTCCTCTA